GCCTCCCAAGTAGCTGGGACCACAGGCGCCTGCCACAATGCCGGCTGTTTTTTGGTTGCAGCCATTATTGTTGTTTTGGTGGGCTCGGGCTGCATTCGAGCCCGCCACCTTTGGTGTATGTGGCTGGTGCCTTAGTCACTTGAACCACAGGCTCTGAGCCCATGCTGTCCTTTTAAAAGAAAGGTTAAACTGAGGCCCTTTTACGGTGTAATGCAAGAATCAGTGTCACTACGTATAAATCTGTTTTCTTAATTGCCATTTTATTATCTTAGATTTGGTTACCATGTAATATCAAAGAAATAAGGCTACAGTTCTTAAGAGTAAATTCATGATACATTTGAGAAATAATGTTATTACATAAAAATTGTATTCAATTCCTCTACCTTTCTCCCTGGTTGTTTTTTTTTTGTTTGTTTGTTTGTTTGTTTGTTTGTTTTAAAGAGGGTAAACGGGAAAAAATCAATGAGTTGTTAAAATACATTGAAGAGAGATTACATACTTTAGAGGAAGAAAAGGAAGAACTAGCTCAGTATCAGAAATGGGATAAAATGAGACGAGCCCTGGAATATACCATTTACAATCAAGAACTTAATGAGACTCGTGCTAAGCTTGATGAGGTAAATTATTTACCTTTGACACTTAGATTAATTTTGCTATTATGAACATGTTAAACTCATGCAGTATTCACATTTTTCTTTCTTATTTTTAATTTCAGAATAATATGAAGGTATATATAATTAGGTTACATAGTTTGCTTCTGTAATGTTAAAGTCTAGTTGTAGCTGTGTCCTTCACCCAGGAAGTGTGCTGTATACCTGTGCATTGTACCCTTAGGTGGGAGCCCACCAAATCTCTTCCCCTCTGCTTGAATCCAACTGAGTTTTTCTCTCATGTGAGCCTATAGTTGTTAGTCTACCTATTTTCACCTTTCAGTTATTTTAAATAGAAACTTTAAAAAAATTCCCACTAAATGTATTAGTCAGCACATTTTTTTCTTTGAGTTTACTCTAAGGAAAATACCTAGACCCATGTTGGTCCTTGCTGTAGTTATATGTGAAATATAATCAGACAAGATAAGGGGAATGCCAGCCTTAACGTTTCTTGGATTTTTTTAGAATATATTTTATAATTTGATTTTTAGAATTTATTTTATAATTGGTATCACTGATACTTTGTGTACACATTTATTTGGATAATGTTTCAGTTTTCTATTTAAAACCATTTTAAAAGTTTTTTTGTAAGAATATTTTAAATTGTTACTTTTGGTTTATTTTAGCAAAAATTAAAAAATTTACTAGGTGTTATGAAAAACTAAGCAAATATAAAATGATTTAGAGGTGGTGGCTTTTTTTTTTCCTTTTTTTCAGCTTTCTGCTAAACGAGAGACTAGTGGAGAAAAATCCAGACAATTGAGAGATGCCCAGCAGGATGCGAGAGATAAAATGGAGGTAAGATAGTTATAAATAAGTTTAGGTGAACTTTACGCCTTTTTGTAACAGGATTATAGAATGGTAACCGTAAAAGGGAATCATAGGGATTGAGATTAGAAAGACAGAACAGTACTAAAAGAATAAATAAAAGAAAAAGCAGGTACAGAATTAATGCTATCACAGTTCTGTTGTACATCTAATTGCCTAGCTCATTTTTTGTTCAATACTTTTTGAATAGGATATTGAGCGTCAAGTTAGAGAATTGAAAACAAAAATTTCTGCTATGAAGGAAGAAAAAGAACAGCTTAGTGCTGAAAGACAAGAACAAATTAAGCAGAGGACTAAATTGGAGCTCAAAGCCAAGGATTTACAAGATGAATTGGCAGGCAATAGTGAACAAAGGGTAAGTTAAAATCATAAAAATGGGCTCGGCGCCTATAGCTCAACCGGCTAAGGCGCCAGCCACGTACACCTAAGGTGGCGGGTTTGAATCCCCAGCCCAGACCCGCCAAACAACAATGACGGCTGCAACCAAAAAATGGCCGGGCGTTGTGGCGGGCGCCTGTGGTCCCAGCTACTTGGGAGGCGGAGGCAGGAGACTCGCTTGAGCCCAGGAGTTGGAGGTTGCTGTGAGCGTGATGCCATGGCACTCTACCCAGGGGAATAGCTTGAGGCTCTGTCTCAAAAAAAAAAAAAAAAAAAAAAATCATAAAAATGAAAAGACATAATATTTGGGAGAGTGGGAACTGCAGAAGAGAGTCTTTCCTGGGAAGGATTCATGTTTGAATTTTTTGTAAAAGCTTTGCCACGTTAAAATTTACACTTGAGTTGAATTTAATATTTCCTTTTTTTGTTTGTTTTTGAGACAGATTCTCACTTTGTCACCCTTAGTAGAGTGCTGTGGCGTCACAGATCACAGCAACCTCCAGCTCTTGGGCTTAAGCAATTCTATTGTTTCAGCCTCCCTAGTAGCTGGGACTATGGGCACCTGCCTCAACGCCCAGCTATTTTTTTGTTGCAATTTGGCTGGGGCTGGGTTTGAACCCACCACCCTTGTCATATGAGGCCGACACCCTACTCACTGAGCCATAGGCACCATCCTATTTTCTAGTTTCTTATACTAAAAAATTAGTTTTATGTTGCAAGATCAATTTTTATCATGAGTTTTTTTGTGAGAAATCTTTAAAAAGTTATATGTAACCCCAAGAGATAATATTCTGTGGCAGACTTAAAAATTAGCAAAAACATTTTAAGCAGATTGCTTTTTTATTTGTCTTGCTTTATTTGCAGAAACGTTTATTAAAAGAGAGGCAGAAGCTCCTTGAAAAAATAGAAGAAAAGCAGAAAGAACTGGCAGAAACAGAACCTAAATTCAACAGTGTAAAAGAAAAAGAAGAACGAGGAATTGCTAGGTCTGGGAATATTCATCAATACTGTAACTTTCTATATAGGTCCTTTATAGAAAGAACCTGGATATGGGCTATAGTGCACTAGCACAGTAAAGGGCAAAAGTTAAAGCTCACTTCAGAGAAATAATAGCTATTGTTAACTACGGTGGGCCATGGGCTATTATTGTACACATACTGTCTAAATTATTTTTCCGCAAAAAACCCTAGGAGATTGACATAATCCCAACTTTAGTAAACTTGAAGCTCTTGTAGGTTAAGTAACTTGTCTTAACTAACTATGTAACATTTAGATAACTAAATGTTGAGCTTTTTAAAGGATTCATCGTGTTCTTTTTTTCACTCAAAGGGCATCTTACTGTATGTTTCATTCTGCACCTTTACTTGGTGCTGTTTAACCATAGACATTTTAAGTTGTATGGATTGGGCTTGATAAGTTTTTACTGATTTCACATGATTTATTATGTTATCCTGTTTTTATGCCACTTACATTCCTTTTAGTGAGTTGTCTATTTATCCTTTGCTGGTTTTTTTGAGATTTATTTTCTGTTTCATGGGAGTATTTTATGTAATCTAAACATTAATATTTATATATATTGTAAATGTTTTCTCTCATTTTTCTCTTCTAATCTTTAATCTCCTCTTAATGTAAGGAATTGCAAATGCTTATGTAGATAAGTAAAATTAGAACATTTTTGAAAATTCCTAAGGTGGGGCACTAGAACTATCTAAATTTACTAACCAGCCCAGTCCTGGAGTAAACACAGGGTCTGCCTGAAATTTTTAGGTTATAAGGTGTTCTTTGACTTTGTGATTGAAGTTAAAGTACTATTATATAAAACTGGGTATTTCATGGGGCTGTGTTGCTTTTTACTCTTAATTCCTTTTTTATATACTTTTTTTAAATGGCTTTATATTTCTATCTATAATTCACATTATTGACTGCAGTTAAACCTTGTTATTTCCTGTTCTCATTTTCAACCCCATTCTCTTCTATCTTGTGTAGATTGGCTCAAGCTACCCAGGAAAGAACGGATCTTTATGCAAAGCAGGGTCGAGGAAGCCAGTTTACATCAAAAGAAGAAAGGGATAAATGGATTAAAAAGGAACTCAAGTCTTTAGATCAGGCTATAAATGATAAGAAAAGACAGATTGCTGCTATACATAAGGATTTGGAGGACACTGAGGCAAATAAAGAAAAAAATCTGGAGCAATATAATGTAAGAACTTTTATTGCTGCTTTGTAAAAATCTTTCAGAAGATAAAAACTTCTACAGTTTTATCTACGTCCAGTTTCATTTTTTGGGGGGGGGGACAGAGTCTAACTTTGACACCCTCTGTAGAGTGCCATGGTGTCAGAGCTCACACCAACCTCAAACTCTTGGGCTTAAGTGATTCTCTTGTCTTGCCGCCCAAGTAGCTGGAACTACAGGTACGAACCACAACACCTGGCTTTTTTTTTTTTTTTTTTTTTTTTTTTGACAGAGCCTCACGCTATCCCCCTGGGTAGAGTGCTGTGGTGGCATCACAGCTCACAGCAACCTCCAACTCCTGGGCTCAAGCAAGTCTCCTGCCTCAACCTCCCAAGTAGCTGAGACCACAGGCACCCGCCACAACGCACCTGGGGTTTTTTTTTGTTGCAGTTGTTGTTTAGCTGGCCTGGGCCAGATTGAAACCCACCAGCCTGGGTGTATGTGGCCACACCCTATCCGCTAATCTGTGGGTGCCACATCCAGTTTCATTCTTAAATAAATTTACATGGTACTCTTTAAACTATACAAGACACCCTTATTTAGAAAAGGCCAGCACAACTTGGCGCCCATAGCACAGTGGTTATGGGTCCAGCCACATACACCGAAGGTGGTAGATTAGAACCCAGCCTGGGCCAGCTAAACAACAATGACTACTGCAACAAAAATATAGCCAGGTGTTGTGGAGGGCGCCTGTAGTCCCAGCTACTTGCGAGGCTGAGGCAAGAGAATCACTTAAGCCCAAGAGTTTGAGGTTGCTGTGAGCTGTGATGCCAAAGCACTGTACTGAGGGCGACGTAGTGAGACTATCTCCCCCCCCCCCAAAAAAGAAAAGGCCAGTACAATCTAATACACATATAGTAGTTCTTTTTTTTTTTAAGAGTATTTTGTCCATGTCAATGAGTGTTCATGTAGATTGAGTATGTTAATAAATATATTATGAATCTACCCTTAACATATACAGGTCTAAAACAACTTTATATTTACTTACTTGTATATTTATTTAGAGACAGAGTCTCTCTCTCTTGCCCTGGGTAGAGTTCTGTGGCATCATAGCTCCCAGCAATCTCAAACTCTTGAGCTTGAGCAATTCTCTTGCCTCAGCCTCCCAAGTAGCTGGGACTATAGGCATCTGACATAATGCCTGACTAGTTTTTCTATTTTTAGTAGAGATAGGGTCTCGTTCTTGCTCAGGCTGGGTTTGAACTAAGCTCAGGCAATCCACTCACCTTGGATTCCCTGAGTACTAGGATGTAGGATGAGAGGCATGAGCCATTGTGCCCAGCCTAGTTTTTCTGTTTTTAGTAGAGATGAGGGTCTTGTTAAGACTGGTCTCCAACTCCTAATCTCAAGCAATCAACCCATTTCGGCCTCCAGAGTGCTGGGATTATAGATGTGAGGCTCTGTACCTGGCCTATCTTATATATTTTTTCATTTTTTTATATTCTAACATAATTTTATCAATAGCTTACTGCAAAATATATTTTGTGTGGGTTAAAACAGTGATTTTATAGCTTTTTAAAATGAATTAAACATTATTTCATTATTTACTATGCATGCTTAGCTAGCATTTCCTTAAAAATTAAAGTAGAAGGCTCGGTGCCTGTGGCTCAAGTGGCTAAGGCGCCAGCCACATACACCTAAGGTGGCGGGTTCGAATCCAGCCCGGACCCGCCAAACAACAATAATGGCTGCAACCAAAAAAT